GCCAACATGGTGAAACCCCGTCTCTACTAAAAATACAAAAATTAGCTGCGCATGGTGGCGTGCACCTGTAGTCCCAGCTAATCTGGATGCTGAGACTTCATAAAAAAAAAAAAAAAGCAGAAATGGAAAACAGCTGCTGGGGTCTACAAGAAGCAGCAGTTCCCACACACGAGGAGGAGGCCCCATCAGATACCTGATTTTATCTTAGACTTCCCACCCCCCAGAGCCATGAGGAAATAAACTTCTGTTCTTTATAAATTACCGAGTGTCCACGATTTTGCTTTAGTAGCACAAAGTAGACAGAGACAGATGGATATATGGAAAGTGATTCCATCCAGAGCGCACAGGGTGCGTAGCAATTGGTGAGAAGATGGGTGCCTAAATCCCCCTGGAGTGGTCAAAGAAGGCTTCCTGGAGGAGGTGGTGCTTAAGTAGAAGCCAGCTGACTAAGGCAGGTGTGAGGGAGGGTTGGGAACCATTTCTAGATGAGAGAACAAGACAGGCACAAAATTCATTCACAAAATGAATACGTATGTTCAGTGAAAGGCATGCACAGGAATGTTTATGGGAGCGTTGCTCAGAATAACCCAAAGTCAGAAACAACCCAAATTCCTATTAACGGCCAACCAGATAAATAAATTGTGTATTCACAAAATGAAATACAACACAGTCATAAGCGCAGGCAAACCACCTGCAGCAGTGTGGACAAGCCACACAGTGCATAATGCCAGGTGAAAGAAGACACACTCAGTCGAGTGCCTACTGTTCAATTTCATTTATCTGAAGTTCAGAAACAAGCAGTAGAGTCTAAGGTGTTAGAATTCAGATGAGTGGTTACCCTCGGGGAGAGTCATGATTGAAGGGGGCAAGAAGAGAGCTTCTGAAATCATGAAAACGTTCCTTCTTAATGTGGGTGCTGGTTACACAGGCATGATCATGCCAAGGCATTCTCTTAATTGTCCTAAAATGCCAGTCCAACCTTGTCACCCTATGTGCTGCTGCTCTGGGCTACGTGCCACGCGCTGTGCACCTATTGCTCTCCTAAGCCTTTAACTGTCTTGTACGCTCATCTAGAAATGGCTCCCAATCCTCTCACACCTGCATTGGTCAGCTTGCACCACCTCCTTCAGGAAGTCTTCTCTGACCACCCCAAGGGGACTTAGGCACCCTGTGCACAATTGGCTTATCCAGTTGGATAAATTCTTATCCAGAATTTAGCACCCTGGATAGGATAACTTTTTGAATATCCACCTGTCTCAGTCTATTTTGCGTTACTAGAACCAAATACCTGAGACGGGGTAGTATGGTTTGACTCTGTATCCTCACCCAAATTTCATCTAATTTCAAACTCTAATCCCCACGTATCAAGGGAGGGGCATGGTGGGAGGTGACTGGATCATGGGGGTGATTTCCCTATTCTGTTTTTGTGATAGTGAGGGAGTTCTCATGAGATCTGATGGTTTAAAAAGCAGTCGTTGCTGCTGTGCACGTTCTCTCCTGCCGCCGTGTGAAGATGTGCCCTGCTTCCCCTTTGCCTTCCACCATGATTGTAAGTTTCCTGAGGCCTCCCAAGCCATGTAGAACTGTGAGTCAGTTCGGCCTCTGTTCTTTGTAAATTACCCAGTCTGAGGTAGTATCTTTGTAGCAGTGTGAAGATGGGCTAATACACTGGGTAATTTATAAAGAATGGACATTTATTTCCTCACAGCTCTGGGGGCTGGGAAGTCCAGGATCAAGATCAGCTGCCTGGTGAGGGTTCCTTACCATGCATGGGAACTGCATCTCTCTGCAGCTCCCAGCAGCTGTTTCCCATTTCCACTAAGTCCAGAAAAAAAATAAAGGGGTTTATAGAGAGAGTCAGGGCCCTGCTGCTGGGGAAGAAGCATGAGAGGAGAGCAAGAGGAACACTCTACATGTCCACCTGCTGGAGCAAAAACATGCAAGAACATGTGTGTGTGTGTATGTGTGTGTGTGTGTGTGTGCTTGTCTATCTGGTTCTTTTCCTCCCACCTTAGCCTCCTGAGTAGCTGGGACCACAGGCGTCCACCACCATGTCCAGCTAATTTTAAAAAAAATTTTTGTAGAGATGAAGTCTCACTATGTTGCCCAGGCTGATCTTGACTCCTGGCCTCAAGCGATCTTCCCACCTCGGCCTCCCAAAGTACAGAGATTACAGGCTGGAGCCATTGCACCTGGCCAGTTCTTAAATGAGTCTCTCTCCAAAATGTCTGAATATAAAAGGCTCTGCTATCAGGCACCTGGGAGGGTCCCTGAAGACCCCGTGTTCTGCACTGTCCCTGGTGGAGCTGCCTTGCCTCCCCCACACAGGTGTTGGGTGGGTTTGACCGAAGAGTGTAGCCTGAGACACTCAGACCCCATCTTCAGCCTGTGATGCTCCTGGGGGACTTCTGGACGCAGCAATGGTATCTCTACTCAGCGTGCACACAGAGAGCTTGTCCCTGCCCCACATCCTCCCTGAATAAACAGCTGGGACGATAACGGCACTCCCTGCAGTGTGATGGTAAAGGTCTGGACCAGGCGATAGACCAGGGGACCGCTGCCGCACTTTATTGTGGAGGAAAACAGAGGACCACTGAGAGGGAGCAGATGAGCTGGGACGGAACCAGGGCATCTGGCTGCTCATCCTGAAGCCCTGCCTGGCCTGGAGGGCCTGGAATGCTTCAGAAGGGATCACGTTTCACCATGGAAGCTTGAGAATGAGCTGCCGTGATGTGATCCGTCTGCTCTCGGCACGCTAAACCCAGCTCCTTTTCCTGAGGAGGGAGGAGGGAACACTGGACGCCCCGACGCCGTGCCTTCTAGCTCCAGGTAGTTACTGACTCAGAATGATGAGGTTGAACGGGCTTTGAGAGAGTGTCCAGGTGGTCCCTGCATCTGATCTATATGGGTGGTTGAGGCACAGAGAGGTCTGTGCTTTGCCTGAGGATGCACAGCACAGTTCTCAGAAACTGACCTGGCTCCGTCTAATGCCCCCACTCCCTGCCCCGGTAGCAGCTGAGCGGGTTTGTTGAGGTAGATCTCAGAGGGTGCACACGCACAGTGCAGGAAGTCCGTCCCCTGGCCTCAGCGGCCTGTACAGAGTGGCAGGGAGCCACCAACAGGGCCCGACAGCCTCTCCCTCTGCAGCCTCTTAAGGTTCTTTTGGTTCCTTTTGTTGGAGAGGCTGAGGCAGGAGGATCACTTGAGCCCAGGAGTTACAGGCTGTAGTGAGCTGTGATGGCACCACTGCACTCCAGCCTGGGCCACAGAGGGAGACCCCACCTCTAGGGAAAAAAAAAAAAAAAAAAAAGAATTTGTGGCTCTTGATTGCTTTGGCCACCTTAGAAACCTCAGGAGTGAGCAAGTTAGAACTGTAACATCCAGGAGGGCTCTCGAAAAGGTGCATGAGCATTAGTGCCTGGATCCTGACGCCTCCTGGGGCCATGTCTGTACCTGTGTCGCCTGCCAGACAGATTACCTTGAGATGAGTTTAGCTCACCTCTTCTGGACAGGCAAGTATAACACCTTGTGGCAGGCCTGTTTGATTAAATTCATATATTAATTCATCGGCAGCACTGTTCCACAGACCAGCTTTCCTTCAGACCAGCGGTGAGAGGGAGATGGGATGAGTATGGAAGGGGGAGAATCTTGCAGGATCAAGTACTTCTTGGCCCTCTGTTGGGGACAGATTAGGGTCTTCACAGCTGGGGACACGTGGATGAAGGCAGCTGGGTTACAGTTTGCTCAGTGGAGGGATTTCAATCTTCCAGGAATGTCCCTCAGGACCTGACAGGGATTTCATTGCAACAAAAGTAAGTGATCAGTCCCAGAGTGGTGCGGGGCAGCGAGGACACCAGGAGAGGGGAACACTGCTGTACATGTTTATCTTGCTGGTTTCAGCGATTCAATTGCTTCTCTTGGGTGGATTTCTGAGGATCACATTGTTCATCTGCAGTTATTGCTTCAAGTGCTCTAGCCCTTTCTTCCTCATCCAGAAAGAAATCATAAATAACTCCAGGGCCCCCCACAAAGCTGGCAGCGGGCCCCGCCCGGGGCCTGAAAGATGATACCAAGTGGAGGGGGAGATGAACTCTGTGGTTCCTGACCCACTTGGACACGGGGAGTCGGTGCTGCCATTGCTCTTCGTCACTGGGAAAGAATTTGCCTTAATGGCACTCCAAGCCCAAGGTCAAGGTTCAAGGGTCATGAATCAAAGCTGGCAGCCTGGGAGCCTCCAGGCCGTGGGAGGGGGCAGCCTGACAGTGCCGGGCACTCTGAACCCCAGAGGGCTAAGAGGGGCACCCACAGCCGTGGGCTAGGTGAGACCTGATCTTCCTGCAGCACCCCCTGGTCAAGGCTCAGGAGGCAATCACCTCTCAAGGAACAGACGAGGTTCCGGAAAATATAGCAAGGTTCTCAAATGGGGCTTCCGGAGGGAAATGGCAGCAGAGTTTTAAAAACTAAAGACAGGCTGGATGCAGTGGCTCACACCTGTAATCCCAGTACTTTGGGAGGTAGAGGTGGGATTCTCTCTTGAGCCCAGGAGTTCAAGACTAGCCTCAGCAACTTAGGAAGACACCGTTTCTAAATGTATTTTCAAACAAGCAAGGCATGGTGGCGCATGCCTGTCCCCCAAGCGACTCAGGAGGCCGAGGTGGGAGGATCACTTGAGCTCAGGAGTTGGAAGCAGCTGTGAGCTATGATCTCTCCACTGCACTCCAGCCTGGGAGGCAGAGCAAGATCTCCTCTCAAAAAAAAAAAAAAAAGTGGGGAGGAAGGAGAGCTTCTCAGACGGAGCACCCCCACTCCATCTTCCAGCCCAGCTATCTTCTATTAACCGGGCTAGAGATGGACAGGAGATGGTGATATGGTTTGGCTGTGAACTCACGCAAATCGCATCTTGAATTCCCGCCTGCTGTGGGACGGACCCGGTGGGAGCTCATTGAATCAGGGCGCAGGGCTCTCTCGTGCTGTTCTCGCGATAGTGAGTAAGTCTCACGAGATCTGATGGCTATATAAGGGGGAGTTTCCTGCACCCTGAGCAAGCGTTCTCGTGGCCGGGGAAGCCTCGTCATCGTGACAGAAGGAAAGGAGGCGCAAGCCACATCGCCAGCCACGTGGAGCTGTAAGTCCATTCAACCTCTCTTTCTTCTGTAAATTGCCCAGTCTTGGGTAGCGTGGAAACGGCCCAGTACAGTTGGGCAGGTCTCAGACCCGCGTTGCCCAGGTTCCCAGGCACCCAAGGGAGGAACAGGTGAAGGAAATCCACCTACATCACACGGAAGCTGCCTGCTTGATGGCGTTTGGCAGTCTGGGCTTAGCTTCCCCAGGGCAGCAATGTCAGCTCAGGGGCGTGGGTGCTTCTGAGCCACAGAAGGGCAACCTGAATTGCTCCCTCCAACCATATATATTCCTCAGGAGCCACCATCCGCTGGCCAGCTGCCCCTGCCTCTCCTAGCCAGGAGGAGGTCTGTCTGGACTCCAAGTCCCTGGGTGATGGGATGGAGGAAAGAGACAGGAAGGGAAGAATCGTGGGGCAGTTGAAGGAGACTCCTAGACTCTCAGGATCAGACTCAGGATCACACCTTTCCCGGCGGGAGGCAGTTGCCATGGTAACCCAGGGAGCACTTGACAGGGCCCCTCCCCTTACCAGGCACAGACCTTCACCAAGGATGAACTTTTTTCCTCTGTTTGCCTGTATTTTCCAGCCTGGACAATCACCTGGACACAATCTGGTTCTTTCTTAGACTTTCTCTTTATTGCTGCCCCGAATAGTTTTTAAAACGCTTTTGCGCCGGGCACAATGGCTCACACCTGCAATCCCAGCACTTTGGGAGGCCGAGCCGGGCGGATCACCTGAGGTCAGCTGTTCGAGACCAGCCTGGCCAACGTGGTGAAACCCCGTCTCTACTAAAAATACAAAAAATTAGCTGGGCATGGTGGTGCGTGCCTGTAATCCCAGCTACTCAGGAGGCTGAGGCAGGAGAATTGCTTGAACCCGGAAGGCGGAGGTTGCGGTGAGCCGAGATCATACCACTGCACTCCAGCCTGGGTGACAGAGTGAGATTCTGTCTCAAAAAAAAAAAAAAAAAGAAAAAACCGCATTTGAACAACATGACAGCTTCTGTGCAGGATTTGACAGTCGTTGCCTAATTGCTTAAGGCTTAGTCAGCTCTCGGGGCCCTGCCCCCGACGTGCTGTGTGACCCTGGGGAACTCTGTTGCATCTCTGAACCTCAGTTGTTTGGCCCTTAAGAGAAGAATGATCAAGGCCGTCTCCTGGGCCCCTGAATGTGGAGATGGAGAGTGTGGGATTAGACTGCATGGCTGAGAAAGGACAGCTGTAATTTGTATGCTTATATTAAAAAGCAGGTACACTAGCGCATGGCTGTAATCACAGCACTTTGGGAGCTGAGGTAGGAGGATCACTTGAGCCCAGGAGTTTGAGACCAGACTGGACAACATAGTGAGACCCCACCTCTACAAAAAATTTAAAAATTAGCCATGCATGGTGGTGCACACCTGTAGTCCCAGCTATTCGAGAGGCTGAGGAGGGAGGATCGTTTGAGCTGAGGAGGTCAAGGCTGCAGTGAGCTATGATTGTGCCACTGCACTCTAGTCTGGGCAACAGAGCAAAACCCTCTTTCTCTCTAAAATACAAAACAAAAAACAAAAACAAAAAAAACAAATCTCCATACAGTTGTAGAGACAAGAAGCCTCTTAGAATCATGTCACTCAGCCCGTTCTTTGTACAGATTAGAAAAGAGACATGGAGGTTAAGTGACTCACGGCCAGTCACACACTGGAATGGTGGCCAACCCAGGGCTAAAACCAACCTCAGCCTCCCAGGGTGGCAACTCCTTATTTCCCCGAGTCATTTACACAAAGTAAGAGTTCGTCCTCAGTACCACGGGGGACACAATGCTTTACAAAGCATTCTCCCAGCCCGCTCTCCTTCCAGATGCCTGAGAGGTTGTATTGCCCCCACAGTGAAGGCGGGGAGAGAGACGGCCAACCCCAGAAGAGGTAAGAGAGGGTCTGGCCGGGCGCGGTGGCTCACGCCTGTAATCCCAGCACTTCGGGAGGCCGAGGTGGGCAGAGGAGGCCAGAAATTCAAGATCAGCCTGGGCAACCTAGCAAAACCTTGCCTCTACCAGTAATACAAAAATAACATGGTTGTGGTGGCACACACCTGTAATCCCAGCTACTTGGGAGGCTGAGGCACAAGAATCACTTGAGCCAGGGAGGTGAAGGTTGCAGCAAGCTGAGATCAGCCCACTGCACTCTAGCCTGGCTGACAGAGAGAATGTCGAAAGAGAGAGAGAGGAGGAGGAGAGGAGAGGAGAGAAGAGAGAAAAAGAAAGAAAAGAAAGAAAGAGAGAGAGAGACGAGGAGGAGGAGAGGAGAGGAGAGAAGAGAGAAAAAGAAAAGAGAGAAAGAGAGAGAGAGACGAGGAGGAGGAGAGGAGAGGAGAGAAAAAGAAAGAAAAGAAAGAGAGAGAGAGAGAGAAAGAAAAGAGGGGGTGGGAGGGAGGAAGGAAGGAAGAAAGAGAAAGAAGGAAGGAAAGAAAGAAAAAAAGCCGGGCATAGTAGCTCATGCCTGTAATCCCAGCACTTTGGGAGGCCAAGGAGGGTGGATCACTTCAGGCCAGGAGTTTGAGACCAGCCCAGCCAACACGGCAAAACCCCGTCTCTACTAAAAATATAAAAATTAGCCAGGTGTGGTGGTACACACCTGTAGCCCCAGCTATTCGGGAGGCTGAGGCAGGAGAATCACTTGAACCGGGAGGTGGAGGTTTCAGTGAGCTGATCATGCCACTGCAGTCCAGTCTGGGCAACAAAGTGAGACTCCGGCTCAAAAAAAGAGTGGTGATAGGTCTCCAATCCAGAAACCCAGTCCTCCTTGATCAGAGCAGCACTATCTGTGTGCAGGTTCTAGGAAGGGGGCAGAAGACCCTCTGTTCAGGCTCAGAGTGAGGTTGGTAAACTGGGGCTCCTGTCTGTCTTGTTTATCAGCACCTAGACGCTGGTCCGGAGCAACAAGGAAAGCTCCTACCCCGTGGGCTGGGCTGGCGTCCACACTGGCCTTGGCCCAGGCTTCTGGGAGGCCAGCTGGACTCACAAAAGCGCAGATGGGAGAAATGCTCAGGCCAGAAGAAAGCCACTGGAGGTAGTGGGGCAGCCAGAGGCTGGTCTCGGAGTCTGCTCACAGCTGGGCCAGAGTCGGGGAGACCTCCCTGCTTCAGCCTCCGGCAGCTTTAGGGATATGGTGGTGGCGGACAGGCAGCTGCGGATGCAGATTCTCTGCAGGGAGGAGACTGTTCACGGACAAGGGAAGGGTGACCTGGCCTGATTACCCCACATACCCCTTCTCGCTCTCTCCTGCCACCCAGTTCTGCAGGCTGGGCCCAGGCGCTGCAGCCAAAGACGAATCTAGCTTTCTGGGATGGGGGTCCTGATACCAGCAGTTCCCAGCCACCCATCCCCGGAGCCTGGGGTTTGACCCGAACAGCACTGCCTCGGTGACCACTGCTCACCGTCCCCTGCTCTCCAGCCAGCCCCAGTCAGGTCTGGAAGGAATAAACCTCCCTAATGGGGTTGTGGGGGACAACCTCAGATCCCCTGACTCCTCCAACACCCCTCCTCCCCCAGACCCAGGGCCCAGAGAGGCAGCTATCCAAAACCTCAGCAGCTCTGCCAAGCTGGTGCGTGAAGTGTGAAACAGGATCTTGTGGTTTTTTATTTTTTATTTTTATTCTTTTTGAGACAAGGTCTCACTCTGTCACCCAATCTAAAGTGCAGTGGCATGATCTCGGCTCACTGCAATTTCTGCCTCCCAGGTACAAGAGATTCTCCTGCCTCAGCCTCCTGAGTAGCTGGGACTACAGGCACCCGCCACCATGCCCAGCTAGTTTTTTTAATATTTTTAGTAGACAGGGTTTCACAGTTTCACCGTATTGACCAGGCTGGTCTCGAAATCCTGACCGCAAATGATCAGCCCGCCTCCGCCTCCCAAAGTGCTGGGATTACCAAGTAAGCCACCGCACCCAGCCTCTTTGTGGTTTAGATTTGCATTTTCTACATTGTTAATGAGGCTGGAGATCTTTTTGTAGGTTTTTAAGCCACTTCTGTTTCCCCACTCTAGGAAATGCCCATTCTTGCCCTTGATCCATTTTCCCATTGGATTGTTCTGTCTTTTTCATTTGGATGCACAGGAGTGCTTCCTGCTGTGTTTCTGATACCAGCCCGTCACCAATTTCATGTTTAGCGAATATCTCCTCCCGTCTGTGGCGTGTATTTGTGATGTGTTAACTCTGTCTTTAGTCACAAAAATGTTTTCAATTGACCTTTTATTCCTTTAACTCCACACGTTGCACAGGCTAGGACCTGAAAGGCCACGCCGTGTAGAAGCTGTGACAACGGCCTCTGAAAAGCGAGGCTTCTGGGCAGGGATGGTGGCTCACACCTGTAATCCCAGCACTTTGTGAGGCTGAGACAGGTGGATCACTTGAGGCCAAGAGTTTGAGACCAGCCTGGCCAACACGGCAAAACCCCGTCTCTACTAAAACAAAAACAAAAACAAAAACAAAAATCAGCTGGGCGTGGTGACACATGCCTGCAGTCTCAGCAACTCAGGAGGCTGAGACATGAGAATCACTTGAACTCAGGAGGCAGAGGTTGTAGTGAGCCAAGATCACGACACTGCACTCAGGCAGGCAGATCACGAGGTCAGGAGTTTGAGACCAGCCTGGCCAACACAGTGAAACCCGTTTCTACAAAAATACAAAAAATTAGCGGGGCATGGTAGTGGGAGCCTGTAATCCCAGCTACTTGGGAGGCTGAGGCAGGAGAATCACTTGAACCCAGGAGGTGGAGGTTTCAGTGAGCCAAGATCATACCACTGCACTCCAGCCTGGGTGACAGAGCAAGACTCCATCCCAATCAATCAATCAATCAATAAAAGGGCTGGCACCTCCTCTTCCCCTCTCTCTAGCTCTCCCTTTTGCTATGCAACGTGTCAGCTCCCCCTTTACCTTCTGCTACTAGAAAAAGCTTCCTGAGGCCTCACCAGAAGGCTACGCAAATGCTAATGCCAGGCTTGTAGAACTGTGAGCCGAATAAACCTCACCCAGGCTGGAGGGCAGTGGTACAATCATAGCTCACTGCAGCTTCGACCTCCTAGGCTCAAGGGATCCTCCCACCTCAGCCTCCCGAGTAACTGGAACAAATCTCTTTTCTTTACCCAGCCTCAAATATTCCTTTACAGCAACACACAACGAACTAAGACAGGTGAAAAGGTAAGGACCTGGGAATTTGAGAAGTGACCGCTTCCATATGTGAAATGACACCCAGCAAACATTAGGGGTCTCTCCTTCCTCTGAGCTGGAAGATCTTAGATTCAGGTTTCATGAATGATTGGAGAATCCTCTAAGGGTTTCTGTACATAAGATTCTCTATGTCCGGGCATGGTTTAGGAGAGAGGTGCCCAAATTTCATCTGATTCTCGAGGAGGGGTGGGAAGGGAAGGTTGGTTTATGCCTTCCTAAACGTTAAGACAATAATTTTGTTTCTTTTGGACAGGGCTTCCCTCTGTTGCCCCAGCTGGAGTGCAGTGGTGGGATCATGACTCACTGCAGCCCCAAACTCCTGGGCTCAAGTGATCCTCCCACGTCAGCCTCCCAAGTACTACAGGCATGCACCACCATGGCTGGATGATTTTTCTATTTATTGTAGAGGTGAGGTCTTACTGTATTGCCCAAGCTGGTCTTGAACTCCTGGCCTCAAGCAATCCTCCTTCCTCAGCCTCCCAAACTGTTGGGATTACAGGCATGAACCACCGCACCTGGTCAGGTTGAGGAATTTTGTAACAGGTACATGGTGGCGCTGGGATTCTGTCTCCAGAGTCCACATTCTTTTTTTTTTTGAGACAGAGCCTCCCTCTGTCACCCAGACTGGAGTGCAGTGGCATGATCTCTGCTCACTGCAACCTCTGCCTCCTGGGTTCAAGCGATTCTCCTGCCTCAGCCTCCTGAGTAGCTGGGATTACGGGCGTCTGCCACTATGTCCAGCTAATTTTTTGTATTTTTAGTAGAGACGGGGTTTCACCATGTTGGCCAGGCTGGTCTCGAACTCCTGACCTCAGGTGATCCACCTGCCTTGGCCTCTCAGAGTGCTGGGATTACAGGAGTGAGCCACCGCACCTGGCCTAAAGTCCACATTCTTCATCTCAGTGCTCCTGTGGAGAGCCTCAGCTTGTGATCAGTGGAAGAGTAGATGTGAGCAGGGACAAGGGGCAGGAGACCTGAGCCTGGAGGGCCATCAGGGTCTTGGAAACCAGGAGGCTGTTGGATTCAGGATACTGTGTTTGCACAACCCTAGGGGGCGCCATCATGTCACAGTCCTCCTAGATTTTATATTTATTACAGCAGTTTTCCAGCAGATGGCAGTCATGTGCCTCGAGGAAGGGGCGCTTTTTCCTTAATCTGCACAAAGAAACCACAGGGACCAGCGGAGGGGCTGTTTGGCTGATATCCAGGTGGGCTGGAAAGTACAGAAGGGTCTCAAACAGGGAAGGGGAATGTTTAGATTTCCTCTTGCTCTTGGTGGGGAGAGACCGGAGGTAGCTGAGACAGTTCTGATAGGTGGGTGAAATCTAAGGTAAGAAAATGGGCCACTTGCGGTGGCTCGTGCCTGTAATCTCAGCCTTTGGGAAGCAGAGAAGGGAGGATCACTTATTAAGCCCAGGAGTTGGAGACCAGCCTGGGCAATGCAGAGAAACCCTGTGTCTATTACAAATACAAAAACTTAGGCATGGTGGCGTGTGCCTGTGGTCCCAGCTGCTCAGGAGGGGGAGGTGGGAGGATCGCCTGAGCTGGGGAGGTGGAGGCTGCAGTGAACTGTGATCCCACCACTGCACTCCAGACAGGGCAGCAGGGTAAGATTCTGTCTTCAAAAAAAAAAAGGCCAGGAGGGGCAGAAAAGAGGAGATGGATTAGAGGGCTATATAGACAGGAGAATCCATGGGATGCTAGGGATCCCTTGCAATGGGGTCACAAGGAGAGAGATTAGGCTTTGAGGTTTCTAATTTCAACAGCAGATTGGCTAAATAGAGTGGCACTTTTCACTGAGCAAGGAGGATTAGAAGCGGTTCTAGGCAACGCCGGGTGTGGTGGCTCACTTCAGTAATCCTAGCACTTTGGGAGGCCAGGGCAGGTGGATCCCTTGAGGAGGAGGCTGAGCAGGTGGAGCAATTGAGGTCAGGAGTTTGAGACCAGCCTGGCCAACATGGTGAAACTCCATCTCTGCTAAAAATACAAAAATTAGCCAGGCATGGTGGTGCACGCCTATAGTCCCAGCTACTCAAGAGGCTGAGGCAGGAGAATCACTTGAACCCGGGAGGCGGAGATTGCAGTGAGCCAACATCACGTCACTGTACTCCAGCCTGGGTGACAGTGAGACTCTGTTTTAAAAAGAAAAAAGAAGTGGTTCTAGGGAGTGGTGAGGAGTTGCTTTTGGATGTTTGCAGGGAGGAGAAGGCTGTAGATGGGGCAGGTAAGAGGGAAACTGGAGAGGGATTGGACGGAAGGTATGAATCTCAGCGAGTGACCAATCCTTGCAAAATGCCTGCACTCTGGCTGGAAGTCCCCGTGATGGTCCAAACCATGTTGCAAAGCTGGGGAGAAACGCACTCTCTCCTTAGGGGCTGTGGTGCCCGCTGACCAATCAGAAGGAGCAAATACAGTCCTGACACCCCAGGCCTATTCTGCAGTTAGGAACACGGAGCCCAGACAAAAGGAGCAAAGGGATCCCGTGTCCCAGAACTCAGGGCTGGTACCCGGGATCTCCAGTTTCTTTCTTTCCTTTTTTTTTTGTTTAAGTGAGACAGAGTTTCATTCTTGTTGTCCAGGCTGGAATGTAATAGCGTGATCTCAGCTCACTGCAACCTCTGCCTCCTGGGTTCAAGCAATTCTCCTGCCTCAGCCTCCTGGGTGGCTGGGATTACAGGCATGCACGACCACGCCCAGCTAATTTTGTATTTTTTCTTTTTTTTTAGTAGAGACGGGATTTCACCCCGTTGGGCAGGCTGATCTCGGACTCCTGACCTCAGATGATCCACCAGTCTAGGCCTCCCAAAGAGTTTGGGGTTACAGGCATGAGCCACCGCGATGGGTGGGATGTCCAGTTTCCAGACCAGCCCTGCACTCGCCCCTGGTCTCAGGGCCCCTCTCAGCTCCCTGGAGCCAAAGCCACTGTCCCAGGGGGCGGGCCTAGTGGGTCTAGTTCGGACCGGTTTGGTTTCTGCTAAGAGGCCCCCACCAGCTCTTTGATTAGCAGCCAAAACATGCTCCTTTCCAAGTCAAAAATAAAATAAAATAAAGCATGTTACAAAGTGACTCTCTTCTCCGATTCATTTTAATGTGGTTTTCAGCATGGTTTATTGTGAGCGGCTCTCTGTGCAGAAAACATGTGCTTGCAATATGCCAGCGACGGGTGGGATTCCAGGGGGCCCCCGGGCCGCCCGCGCTGCCAACCAGGATGGTCAGGAAGTTAAAGGCATGTCTTTGAGGAGCAGGTAATTAGTGACTCTCAAATATTTGTCTGAAAGGATCTCAATGGGTGTGATTTCACCCAGAGTCCATTCCCTCCACTGACCCCATTCGGGCAGAGGGAAAGGACAGAAGGAGAATTCATGGGCTGTGGTGTGAGGACAGGTTCCAGCTTAGAGTGTGGTTTCTCCTGTTCTAGGGTCCTCAAAGGTGTTACGAGGTGGGAGGGACCAGAAGACTCGGGATCTAGCCTGTAACAGCACTGTGCCGTCTTAGGCAAGTGTCTGTCCATCTCTGGGCTGCTGGGCCTCAATTTTCCCATCTGTAAGAGAAGGCAGCCATGATAGTACTGAGTGTCAACTTGAATGGACCGAAGGATGCAAAGTGTTGACCCTGGGTGTGGCCGTGAGGGTGTTGCCAAGGGAGAGGAACTGAGAGTCAGTGGGCTGGGAAGGCAGACCCACCCTCAGTCTGGGTGGGCACCAGCTTATCAGCTGCCGGTGAGGCCAGAACAGAGAACAGGCAGAAGAACGTGAGAAGACGAGCCTGGCCCAGCCTCCCAGCCTACACCCTTCCCCTGTGCTGGCTGCTTCCTGCCCTCAAACCTCAGACTCAAGCTCTTCACCTTTGGACTCAGACTGGCTTCCTTCTCCTCAGCTTGCAGATGGCCCATTGTGGGACCTTGTGATCGTGTGAGCTACTCCTCCTCAACAAACTTCCCTTTCTGTAAAAAACAATTATACACATACTCATGCACACACAAATACAAAGTGAGTTCGCAGTCATGTACACACGGAGTGATCACACACACTCATGCACACACCTAGGCACACACGCACCCATCACACTCATACACATTCACGCACACTCACCGCTCTGAAACAGGAAGTGGCCGGCATGCGTTCCAGCAGTGGACTCACCAAGGAGGAGAATGGCCATGGCTCCCTACTCATGTCCCTTGGAGGCGTCACCTCACTGCTGCCAGACCTGACCAGTGCCTGTGACTTCAGGACTGAAACAGAAGTCCCAGCACCTTCCCTTGAGGTGTTCTTGTGTGGTTCAGACCCCCTGTCCGCACGTTTTAGGGCTTTGTGAGCCATGCAGACCCTTAGCAAGGCACAGTGGCTCATGTCTGTCACCCCAGCAGTTTGGGAGGCCAAGGCGGGATGATCACATAAGGCCGGGAGTTCAAGACTAGCCTGGACAGCATAACAAGACCCTACTTCTACAAAAAATAAGAACATTAGCTGGGTGTGGTGGTCTCAGCTACCTGGGAGGCTAAGGCTGGAGGATCCCTTGAGCCCAGGAGTTTGAGGTCGCAGTGAGCTATGATCGCACCACTGAACTCCAGCCTGGAGACAAAGCAGGGCAGAGCAGCTCAGGGCACAGCAACGCCCAGGCCCCGCCCAGACCTATCCGATCTGAATCTGCACTTCAATGGGCCTGGGGTGATTCCTGCACCATGGGACAGCTTGAGAAGCGCTGCTTATATTTCATTTTCCAACCATCATTTCTGAGACACACAAACCAGGAGCATGTGACAAACTCGCAGCACTGTGCATTGTTAGAGAACACAGGCCTTGCCTCCAGCACCCGGTTCTGGGCCTGGGAGGAACAGTCATCACCGATGAGAGAAGCAATCACTGCATAGGAGTAACAGCGTATATGAGAGGCCCAGGCTCTATTCTTCGCAATGGGGGATCAGCTGGAGAAGGTTCTGGGTGAAGCAGGCAGGCTGGACCCTGGGCAGCCGCAGAGGGACTGAGCACCTCACCTTGAGAAGGCGGAGGCAGCAGATAGGCCCCAGCTCGCAACCCAAAGTCGCTGGGCGGACGCCATGTAGAGCAGCCCTAGCCCCTTAGAGAATGAGCTTTCAGCAGAGAGCCCGGCAGCTCCGGGAAGGAGGGAGTGCCCTTCCCTGTAAGTGCCCAAGACACTGCTTGGGGAGCATGGCAACAAGAGGGGAGGGAAAGCCCAATCCCTCTGGGAACCTCAGTTTCCCCATTAAAACAATACGGGGTTGGGCCAAATGACCTCAAAGGCTTTGGCAAGGGCAATGTATCCCATGGGTAATTTTGGAGCATAGCTCTTTTTTTTTTTTTTGAAATTGAGTCTTGCTCTGTCTCCCAGACTGGAGTGCAATGGCGCAATCTCAGCTCACTGCAACCTCCACCTCCCAGATTCAAGTAATTCCCCCGCCTCAGCCTCCAGAGTAGCTGGGATTACAGGTGTGTGCCACCATGCCTGGCTAATTTTTGTGTTTTTAGTAGAGATGGGGTTTCGTCATTTTGGTCAGGCTGGTCTTGAACTCCTGGCCTCAGGTGATCCACCTGCCTCAGTCTCCCAAAGTGCTGGGATTACAGGCGTGAGCCACCATGCCCAGTCTTCAAGCATAGGTTTGAACTAGATTTTTCTAAAGAGCCTGGCTTCCATCCCTGGAAAGACCAGGAAAGGCTTCCTGGAGGAAGTATCTGGTGAATCTGGAAGAAAGGGTGGAAGATACATGTACATGTACTCACTATGCACACACAGAGCCCGTGTACACACAGGGCCCATGTACGCACACACATGCACACAAACTCAGCTGTTTGTACACACAACCTGTGTTTGCACACAAAGTCAATGCTTGTACACAGCTCATGTACACACATGGCCCCTGGTGCACACTCACATGCAGACACACTATGAGCACCTCCAAGACTCTCAGCACCCTTATGGACAAAGCCCTGTGCTGGGCACTGTGGAGACGAACCCAGTGACCATCTTGCTCAAATGGATTGTGACACAGAGCAAGGGATAAAGGCCTGGGGCAGAAACAACAGGCAGAGAGTGACAAGGGCAAAAGAGGGGCAGCTCCTTGAGGAAGCCTGGCTTCCATCTGGACAGACCAGGGAAGGCTTCCTGGAGGAGCTGTCTGGTGAATCTGGAAGAAGTTGGGGAAGATATTGGAGCTGAAGAAGCTGGCCATCTTCAAGGGATGTCACCTCTGCTTCTCCTGGCCTTGCCCCATCACTGCTGCGGAGGCAGTTAGGTCCCCTAGGCCCAACAGTGGCCATGGGAGCAGGCTGGGGCCATCACGGGGATGTGTGCCAGCCTCCTAGCCAACGATTCTCATGGCCACCAAGCCCATTACTCCCTCATTCAGCAGAATCATTCCAACTGGCAGGTTCCCAAGCATTTCTAACAGCCTCATTTGGACAATCAGGGCATTTTCCTTCCTTCCTTCCTTCCTTCCTTCCTTCCTTCCTTCCTTCCTTCCTTCCTTCCTTCCTTCCTTCCCTCCCTCCCTCCCTCCTTTCTCTCTCTTTTTCTTTGTTTCTTTCTTCTTTCTTGTCTTTCTCCCTCTCCCTCCTTCCCTCCCTCCCTCCTCCCTTGATGGATTCTTACTCTGTCACCCAGACTATAGTGCAATGGCACGATCTCAGCTCACTACAGCTTCCACCTCTCAGGCTCAAGTGATTCTCCCACCTCCGTCCCAAGTCGCTGGGACTACAAGTGCCCACCACCACAGCCAGTGAAGTTTTGTTTTTTTTTAGTAGAGATGGGGTTTCACTATGTTGGCCAGGTTGGTCAGGAACTCCTGGCCTCAGGTGATCTTCCCTCCTTAGCCTCCCAAAGTGCTGGATTACAGGCATGAGGCACCATGCCCAGCTTGGTTTTTTAGATCAGATGTGGGCCACACCGATAGCAAGCTGGCCAGGGTATCACCTCCTGTCCAGTGTGATGAACAGACTTCAGCAGAGGAGAAGTTGGGGGGTGGCCTTGAACTCTTGTTGCCCAGGCTGGAGTGCAATAGCATGATCTTGGCTCTCTGAGAAAAAGCCATAAGCAACAGCCAGAAGGAAGTGTGCTTGCCAAGTGATTGAGATTGAGATGGGGGTAGGGGTGTCCCTCCAAAGAGAGAGGCAGCTTTGAGCCTCACAACCCAGAGAAGAGAAGAGACCACAGCAAGGACAGCTCTCCTGATCACCTTGCCCCTCCTCCCAGCAACCCTGGAGAGGCCGGGAGGGGTGGCAAGAGAGGTGGGGACGTTGCAATGGCAGAGGAGGCAAGTGTGTCCTAGCCCACTCCAAATAGCCACCATAGCTGGCCCCAAAAGGGAAGGGGCAGGCTCAATGCTGAACCAAACTTGGAGTTTTGCTTATTCCACAGAACAAGACATAGCTGGTTAATGCATCACAGCTTATGACTTCAACTGACTGTCAAATGGTCATGGGAATACCCAGTTTCCCCCACTGTGCCTGAATACATTTTATTTATCTGTTTATTTATTGACGCAGAGTTTTGCTCTTGTTGCCCAGGCTGGAGTGCAATGGTGGGATCTTGGCTTACTGCAGCCTCCGCCTCCCGGGGTCAAGCAATTCTCTTGCCTCAGCCTCCCGAGTAGCGGGGATTATAGGCACGTGCCACCATACCCAGCTAATTTTGTATTTTTAGTAGAGACAGGGTTTCTCCATGTTGGTCAGGCTGGTCTCGAACTCCTGACCTTAGGTGATCCACCGTGCCCAGTCTGAATACATTTTAAAGGGAGCACAGGAGACCATAACAAAGGTGGGTTTTTTTCTTTCTTTTTTTTTGAGACCGAGTCTTGCTCTGCTGCCCACACTGGAGTAGAGCGGCGTGGTCTTGGCTCACTGAATCTCTGCCTCCCAGGTTCAAGTGACTCTCCCGCCTCAGCCTCCGGAGTAGCTGGTATTGCAGGCATGCACCACCACACCCAGCTACTTTTTTGTATTTTTAGTAGAGATGAGGTTTTACTATGTCGGCCAGGCTGGTCTTGAACTCCTGACCTCAGGTCATCTGCGCACCTCGGCCTCCCAAAGTGCTGGGATTACGGGCATGAGCCGCCGCCTCCTGCTATGGCTGATTTTTATATATTTTGTAGAGACAGGATCTCACCATGTTACTCAGGCCAGTCTCAAACTCCCAGGCTCAAACAATCCTCCCACTTTGGCCTCCCAAAGTGCTGGGATTACAGATGTGAACCCCTGTGCTCAGCTTTAAATCAAGAGCCCTAATGCCCACCTCATGATGGCTGGGAGGATGCGGGAGGAGGCAGAAGGTCGAGGCTGTGGACACACGGTCCCCAGGTCAGCCAGTGCCCTGCGTCCCCACGAGCTCCAGCCAAGGCACCTCTCAGCCTCCCCCTCCCCAGCCAACCTTCCCGGGATGGGCTATACCTCTGCTCCCCCAACCTGGAAAGCATTGAGGCCGAATGGCTCCATTTCAAGTGCAATTATTACAAACCCTTCAGGGAACGAGAGCTCCAAAATGAAATCTCTCTGTCAAAACTTCCATTAATGCACAGTTTTATGCGGGGATCGTCTTACACGCCGTGCCTGAGAGCCCTCGATGAAGACCAGATTCTCGGGGGTGCCGCGCAGCAGGGAGCAAGCACAAAGTCTCCCTTGCCTTTGCAAACCCTGGGGGAATCCGTCTCCAGCCTGTGTTTCCAAACGACAATAGCCTTAGACTTGGGAAAACATCCCCTTGAATTTCACCAAAGCCTGCAACACACGTGTGTGGGAAAACTTGCCACGGCTTGCTTGTTTCAGAGACCTTCTCTAAATGCAAAGCAACATCACGAAATAACTCCACAGTGTGCAGAGTGGGGAGTCTACCACGTGCAAGCACAGCCACGGTGTCACCGGCAGGGTCACTGTTTCTCATGCAAAGAAAGACAAAGAAAAGCTTAGAGGCACTGGACACTTGCCCAAGGCTCACCAAGGTGCTCAGAGCCAGTGCGAGAACCCAGAGCTCCCAATTCTTGCCCGGTGCTCATGCCACACTCCGAGGGCTATGCACACCTCAGCCTCCTCTCTCAATCATTCTGGTGTAACGTTGAGGGCCCCAAAGGCAGAGTGTCGGGTGTCCAGGGGGAGCACCAAGGAACTCAGCACTT